GTGGTGGCAACAGAAAAGTCAGAGGAGGTCAGATATGCCCGCCTCCATTGCCGGTTAGGGCACGCCTGACTCCTCTTCCCACCCTGGCCCCTCTGCCACTATTCCCGACAGGGCTGTCAGTGCTGGGGGAACATGCCTGACTCCTCCCCACAGGGCTGTCAGTGCTGGGCCCTGGGCACCCGAGGCTGCCCGCCCCCCACCGAGCCCCTCCCACCAGTGGGCCCCCGCACCTTCTGTGCCCCATGACAATCATACGCAGCTTGTCCCCAAGGTCCTGCATCTCGTGGATCTGGACAAATGTTCCCGTGTGGTAGATCTCATCCAGGCTCTCAACCACGTCGGACTCATTGCTGGCAGTGGGCACAGAGAGGCCTCAAGCTGTGGGGTGGGGGAGGGGGAACAGGAACCACCCCCAGGGCCACTGCCCAGCACGAGGAGCAAGCGACTGTCTGGGGCCCAAAAGTGCCGGGTCACAGGCTCACTCCCACCACAGCACCTGCTGGAACGTTCCCCTGGACTCATTTCTGGACCGGGACCCGCACCATTGGCATGGCTCGCTCTGCTGCCAAGGGGCCCCCAGGCCAACCCCCCTCCACCCTCACCCCCACCCCCGTCATGTGCTCCAGGCCCAGGCTTTGGAAAGGCCTGCTAGGCGTTGGGCCTGAGCTCCGTCAGGATTCCCTTGGTCTCTTCTGGGCCACAGAACGGGGCCTCAGGTGCCCTGGGACCACGGGGTGTGGGAAACGCCACTTACTTGTCGTCCCGCTTCAGAAACACGCCGGCATAGGGCTGGGCGAGACGCACTTTCCTCCTGAGCAGCTCAACCAGTTTCTTATTCTTAACCTAGCAGGACAAGGACCCCGAGTGAGCCGCCAGGCAGGAGCTTCCAACCGTGGACAGCGGCACTGGCCAATTTGGCCATGTCTCTGGGGCATGTTCCCTGTCCCAGCCTGGCCCAGGGGGTCAAAAGAAAGAGGCAGAGGGGCCAGGGAGGGGAGAGACAGAGTGAGAGAACAGACACTAGGGGTACCCCTCAGCCGGCACCCCCACAGCCAGAGACAACGAGCCACCGTGGGGGCTGGAAGAAGCCCACAAACTGCTGCCCCGAGATCATCTTTAAACCCGAGAACCAAAAATGGGCTCTGAAGTCTTCAGACCACACAGTGGTGTAGCTTTGCAGGTAGACGGTCTGCCCTCAGCAGTGCGCCCCTTTAAGAATGGCTGCTGTGCCAGCACGGTGGCCTCGGTGACTTGAAACGGATAGAAGCAGAGGGAGCAGTAGGGAACCGGGTCCTGAGGGCTCCGGGGCTTCCATCAGAGGCAACTGCCATCAACCCAGAGGTTGGCAGTTCAAGTCCACTCAGAGGTGCCATGGAAGGAAGGCCTGGCAAACAACGTCCAAAGAACCAGCCACTGAAAATTGGGGGTGGGGTGGGGGGCTACTCTGACCAACCACATGGGTTCACTGAAAACTGGGGGTGGGATGAGGGCTACTCTTGACCACCACATGGGTTTGCTGGGAGCCAGGGTTAACTCAGTGGCCGAGTAAAGAGAAGCAAAAAAAAAGTGTTTAGCAGACACATTCTTCTGGAAACAGGCCCCCAGCAGCCATCAGGAGAGTGCCCTGCTGGCTGCAACCTGCCCTGGAGGCTCCACCCACTAGTAAGGAGGGATGCTGCTGCTACAAGATTCCCCACCCGCCCCCAATCAGGCAGCTCCATGACAACTGCTTCACAAGTCTCCTCAGCACGGGTGCCCTCCCTCCCCTTGGCTGTCGGTGTCCCTGAGCTCATTCTGATTCACAGGACCACCAGGGAGTTTCCTCGCTGGAAAGAGTCTTGGAGCAAACTGCCAGGTCTTTCCCTGGCAGAGCAGCGGGTGGGCTGGAACCGCTGATGTGTCGGTTACAGGCCCAAGGACTTAACCACGGGGCCACAGGGGCTCCTCAGGGCACATGACTATGTCCACTATGCACAGGAGAAAAGGGAGACCCCGAGGAAACAGCCTGCCCGGGGTTACGGAGCGAGGGATGCTCGAGCCAGGCCCCGGACCCCCAGCTGGCTCTGGGGCTGGCACTGTTGCTGCCAGGTACTGACGAGTCCGTCCAACTCCTCGGGACCCGGGCGCCAGGCACTGCCATGCTCACAACTGTTCTTATATGAGCTCACTGATGCACCGCAGGCAACGCACCAGACACCACTATTTAACGTCAAGGAAGGGGCTCCAAAGAGCAGCTCATCCACAGCTAACCAGCAGTGCAGGAGAGGAGGGGAGGGGTCCTCTCCCTCCTCTCCCCTCCCCCTTGGATTGGCTGCTGTCCCCCGGGCTGGCCTTGGCATTCAATTAGCAGAGGCCAGGGTGAGGGCAGAAGCTGACGCAGCTTCTGACCTTGCTCATGAAGTTGGCGGATAACCTTGCTCCTCCCTGGCCTGTTTCCACTCCCATCAGTTCAAAGAAAAGGGAAGTGGGGACAAGAGAGGAAGAGGGGGTGGAGACGGGAAACTCATTTGGGTCCTGTCTCCTCAAAACACAAGTTCCTTGAACGTAGGCCACCTGTGTTTCTTTCTGTTACATCACCCTGGATGTTTTCCCCTTAGTCTGGAATGGTCGTGTCTCCTCCCTTCCCAGGCCCAGGAACCCAGTTTGGCTTGTCCATTGCCATGTCCTCCCTCGGTGGGCGGCGACTACGTCCTTCAGGGACCATTTGCCCCCAACCCACCCACCTCAAGTTTCTGCGGACTCAAGTCTTCCTCATCTCAAAAACCCACGGCCATCAAGTCAGCTGACTCCTAGTGCCCTTAGAGGAGATTCTGAGGCTGTGGAGCTCCATGGGCGCAGAGAGCCTCATCTTTCTCTTGCAGGAGTGGCTGGTGGCTTTGAACTGCTGGCCCTGTGGTTGGCAGCCCAGCTCTACCCAGCTGTGCGTGATCATCTCCCTGGTACTCTTGTTCATGACCCCTCTCTCATCCCACTAGAATGAATTTGATCTCTTTGGCTGGCTCACTGCAAAGCCAGCGGCTCGATGGGAGGAAGACAAGGCTTTCTACTCCCATCAAGAGTTAACAGTCTCGGAAACCCACAGGCGGGCAGCGCTGCCCCGTCCTGCAAGGTTGCCGTGAGTCGGCATCGACCAGAGGTCGATGGCTTTTGGAGTTTTGTTCACTGCCAGTATCATCAACCCTAGTCTCAAGCCTGGCCCATGGCAAAGGGTCACGAGATTTACTTCAGGAACGACTGTATCTTTCCAAGAGGCCCTTAACCACCAGGGGGGAGTTGTTACATTCACCAGGAGGCCTGGGAGATGAACTGGAGGCGATATCACTGGGGCTGCCTCAGCCCAGGACTGGGATTCTTTCCCGTTGAGTAGAGTCTTACATTGATTAGATTCAATACTTCTCATTGGACAGACCCTAAGGGATCCTAAAGGAGGAGGGATGTGGCCCAAGGTCACTATGTAAGTGGTGAGCGGGCAGGTTCAAGC